ATAGCATATTATAAACCTGAAGGTGGGAAGTGGTCGTTTGTACAGGGAATGCCTTGAACAGCGTTCTCCGATTCCATCCTTACAGTTTACATCTAGATCAAGAATGAGAGGGATAGAATGTCTCAGCAAAGAGACGGAAATAATAATAATAATAATAATAGATAGCATTTGTATTGCGCATATCCCCGCTCCACAGCAGGCTCTATGCGCTTTACACTATATAATTACCCCAGCAGACCATAGAACAATCCGAAACATTCTCAGCTTCCCGGGAAGCATACAGTGCAAGCTGCGGATTTCACGCGCTCAAACACTATCAAACTGAAAAGATCTTTCACTGTCTATAGCTGGGTACTCATTTCCACCTGGGTGAAGTGAGGAAAATTCGTGTAAAGTGCCTTTCCCAAGGACACAACCTCGGGCCCCTGACAGGATTCGAACCCACGACCTTACGGTTGCGAGTCCGAGAGACTAACCACTAGGCCACCGACGCCACATACTCAATATATAAATGCACCCCCTGCAAGGGAATCGAACCCACAACTCTTCAGCAAGAGACGACGAAAGAAACATTAAGCTAGTTTATGAACGGTAATGAAAGAAAAGTGTTGAGAAATACTGCTCAGCTTATGTGAACATGAGACTTTCAGACCAACTAAAATACGCACGCACAATAACTAATCGGTACCTTAAAATTACAAAGTTCTATCTGACATTTCTGTCCGTTTTGAATTACTAAGACTAAGAGGTTGGAAACCAAATTAAATGTTCTATCTGCTCTATCAAAATCGAAAGATCGTTCGGAGTCGTTATCAAGATATATTTTTTAAAGAATTGTGTTTTTTAAAAAGCTTGTCATGTTATAAAACTAAATTTGTTTAACCTCAAATTTTTCAAAACTAGGTAGTGAGCAGATAAAAGGTTGTAATTCTAGGGTATCGTAATGGTACTCACCGTAGACATAATTCAGTGCTATCAACTCGCACAGACAAGAGAACATAAGAGCATAGCTGGCAGAATAGCTATTCATTAACGTCAACACCCATATACCACCCTGTGGAAGAGACATAAGAAACAGATGGAAAAGTCTAGTTATTCGTTAAAAAAAGGAAATGTTTGTATAATAATATTTTCGTTTTCTCTTTGTCCCTGTCTGTCTCCGTCCCTGTCTGTCTGTCTCGCTGAAATATGTCTTTCTTTCTCTCTCTTCATGCCCCCTCTCTTTCTCTCTCTGTCTCTGTCTCTGTCTCTGTCTCTGTCTCTGTCTCTGTCTCTGTCTGTCTGTCTCTCTCTCTCTCTC